GTAAGAGCACTGAATGTTGACGGATCATGTGACAGAAAACTATCATGGTAAATATTATTTTATAAAAACTCGTTTGCCTACTCACTCTGAGTGTGACTTGTTTGATAAGTTTCAACTGGAGTTAGACAGCATGCGGCAAAAGACGACTGAATGTGTTCCATTGATAAAGGTGGCCTGCCTTGAACAGAAGAACCTTTTAAAATAAGATCCAAAGCAATTTTAAAATAAGTCGTTGGCTACAAAATAATAATTAATAATAATAATAATAATAATAATAATAATAATAATAATAATAGTAATAATCGAATTTTTAAACAGGATTAACCCATCAGTACTTATATAATTATACAATTAGATAGAGGCTTTTGGAGTCGCTAAATATTATTTTAAGTCATGTAGTTTCCTTACCACAAAATTCTTTGGCCACGTTATTCAGACCCGCCCTGTCATGACACAAAGCGTTGTAGAGGTCACAATAAAATGAAGTCGAAGTTGCTGTATCTCTCCAGCGAAGTAACATCCGATACGGTTTTTCTTTTTCATTAGCCTCTATGTCGTCCAGTACATTCTGACTAATGCCAAGGCGACGTCCCAACTTCTGCCACTTTGCAGCAATCTTTCCTGCCAGCTCATCTAGGTCACCGTCACTAGGTTTGCCTTCTTTAAAACCAACTACATGGGAAAGACAAGAGGCTTGCAGTTTAAAACAATGATGCGATTTTGTTACAACCATCTTTTTTCTTTATTTATTTCCTTTTCTCGTTGCAAATACAGCCATTACAGTTAGAGTATATTTAAGTTAAGGACAGGTAACTTAAATTAAGGTAACTGCTTTCAGCGATCATTTGTCTTTAATGAGACTGGAGGCTAAATGAACTGCTTAGGTTTTCGAGTTGGCCTCCAGCCTTGTTATGTCTTAATTGTTGAACAAGATGAAGATGAAGGAAGATGAAGGAAGAATTTAAATCAAAGTTGTGATAAAAACACCATCTATCCTTTCAGTGAAACATGAAATTTATTCATAACATGTATCTAATGCTGCTCAATACCATGCGTCAAACAAGCTTCAAGGTTCATATTTTTGCAAACAAAAATTAAATTTGGAACCACTCATTTGATCCTTCAAGGTTGTCTACCAGGGACAGATCCAGGAATTCTTGAAAGGGGGTTTGTACACCTTAATAACTTTCAACCCCATTGGCATGGATGGCGAGCAAGCTTCTAGGGGAGGGTCCTGGGCTGTGCCTTCCCTGTAAATATTTCTGATTTTACCCTCTGAAATACCATTTCCAGCATTCCTGCCTTTCGAAAAGCACTTGTGAAGGCATTAAATAAAGTCTAGAGTTTACTTTATATCTCAAACAGAAAAACAAAGTAACGTAGTGGTGAAATGTACATAATCCTTTCCTAACTTGACAATCAGTCAATTGGTGGAACTGAAACAATTACGTATAAAACAATTTTACCTCATTGTATTTATGAAATCTATGAAGAATCAAAGAAATAACAAAAAATGGCTGGTCAAAAGGGGATGCGGGGTTGCAACCCCCATAACCCTTCCCCTGGATCCGCCGCTGTTTATGAAAAATTATGAGGAGCCCAAAGGTTCCATGCCCAGCACTTAAGCTTACATGAAAAAAGTGTTTTTTTCAGTCGCCCAAAGGCAAAAAATAGTTGCCTGTGGCATCCGGGTGCTTCTAGAGCACAACCCTGTCCTTTTTCCCAACCTATTTAATTTTCTTTTTCCACACTTGGTGTAAGAAGTGAAATCATATTTTCAGCTAATGTGTCCCATAAAAGGCTGAACATTTCTAATAGTGTTTTTAAGGCCTGTACTGTCTACACTTCTCTACTCTTCTCTACATGTACTCTACTACTGCTGCTGCTGCTGCTGCTGCTACTACCACTATTACTACT